GGACTTCAATCTGACTTTCTCCGCCGCTCTTGACTATTTGCCGCCCCCAGATAAATCTACTCCGAGACTGACGGAGGCACTAGCTAGGCAGTTTCGCAAATAGATTAGCCAACATTCTCTCTTTGGTGATCCACCCGGCGGAGAAGAGGTACACCTTCTACTCCTCGGCCCATAGTTCCCACTCCCGGCTTGACTACTTCTTGGTGAATACTCCTATTCTCCGGAACATGGTCTCGGCTCACATAGGCCCTATCTCCTGGTCGGATCATGCGCCCATTGAATTGACCATTCGAGTGGATCCCTCCCGGATTCGTAGGTGTCACTGGACTTTGAATGAGGGCTTGCTGAAGGGGGAGGCCACTAGAGACGCTATTGAATCGGCTATACGGAGTTACTTCGATCTTAACGACGGATCCGTGAATGACCTCTTGACTCTCTGGGAGGCTCATAAGCCCACGATTAGGGGCCACTGCATTGTGGTGGCCTCCAAGCTCAAGAAAGACCGAATGGCCGCTATTGCCAACGTTAAGGATCAGCTCCTTGGGTCTGAGCGTCGGCTGGGGGCCTCCCCCTCCAAGGCCTTGCTGAAGGAGGTGTTGAGGTTGAGAGCACAATTGCAGCACCTGTATGTCCATAAGACTGAAACATCCATGTTATACTTGTGCCAGAAATACTATGAGAAGGGAAATAAGGCCCACACTCAGTGCGCGACGCCGAGGGCACGCTACATCACCATCCCCAGAAAATGGCGGATATATTCCGGGCTTTTTATGAGTCCCTGTACATTCTCCAAGATGGAGCATTCAGGGCTGGTGATGATGCCTTGACCTCACGCATCCGAGAATACCTTGGCTCCTGTGACTTACCCGTGCTCTCCCCAGAGGACTGTGCTAAGTTGAATGCCCCGCTAGAGGTGGACGAAGTTCAGAAGACGATAGCCTCCCTTCCCACGGGCAAATCGCCAGGTCCTGATGGCTTTACCTACCTATATTATAAGACCTACTCACATTTGCTTTCCCCATACTTGACGAAACTCTATAACCAGTTCCTTGAGGGTAGACCTATCCCGTCCTCCTTTTTGCAATCTTACTTAATAGTGATCCCCAAGCCGGATAAGGATGACACTGTGTGTGCAAACTACCGCCCTATTGCACTTTTGAACTCAGATTACAAAATCTTTACTAAATTACTAGCAAACAGACTTTCTGTTTTTTTACCCAGTCTGGTCCACAAAGACCAGGTTGGTTTTGTTTTGGGCAGACAGGCGGGGGACAACACGCGCAGACTTGTCAACCAGATAGACATTGCAAATCGTAGGGGAGTGGGAATGGTCCTTCTCAGCTTAGACGCTGAGAAGGCCTTTGACAGGCTTTGTTGGCCTTTCCTGGGGTCTCTCCTGGCCCACATCGGTGTGATTGACGGCGGCACGTTGTCTCATCGCTCTTCACTGGAAGCGCACTGCCCCGCCCTCAGACCTGGATCTGTATACCAGAATTAAAGATGTTCAAAAACTAGAATACTTGACTGCTAGACTAAATAATACTTGGAAGTTGCACAATAAGGTGTAGGAGGCCTGGGATGCATTGGAGGGGGATAGGGGGATGCCGTCCGTGGTAGATGGAGAAACGAGATGAGCCGGTACCCAGCATTTCCTACCCTTTATTTCTCTTACTGCTTTTTTTCCCCTGTTCTATGTCTTCTCTTTTCCAGGGTACTGTCTTGGCCAACGTTTTTTACTTGGTCTCTAAGCCAGCGAGCCTGGCTCATGCGCAACACCAGACCAAGCTCTTTTCAGGATTACAGTATTGCACTCACCCTCTAACCTGTTATACTGCTGACCATAGGTATGGTGCGGGAAATAGATGTATACCTCCGAATTTTATTGTTTATTTTGTTATTTTTCTTTACATGAGAGGCAATGCCTGTTAGCCAGGGTAATTACATTCTATGAGGGTTACATGTATTTCCTCTTGTTTGAGGCCTAACACTGCAGTGGGTTTAACGGTGCTTGCTGTATACTTGGATTTGGTCCGCATGACCTCTTACTCATTGTTTCATGACTTTGGTCACTTCTGTACTCTGTTTATAAAACTCAATAAAAATTGTCAATTTGAAGAAAAAAAAAATTGCACCTGTTCAACCTGACAGAATGGTGGTAGTGTTGCAGAAGTATTGTGACAACAGTATTGGGGATTCATAATGAAAATCTCCATAAATCCTTCATAGGCATGTAAATATAAACCAACCTATAAACCAATTTAAAGCAGAACCATGGTTTTAAAAAAAAATAGCTCTTGCAGTGGGGCTATTCCTGCACTGCAAGGGTTAAAGGGTAATTAAACCCTTGAGTGTTTTTGCATATACAGGTGAAACTCGAATAATTAGAATATCATGCAAAAGTAATTGCAGTAAGTGCTGCAACAGAGACCCAAACCAAGTACTGAGTACATATGCATGCTTGTACTTTTCAGAGGTCCGATATTGTTCTATGTACAATCCTTGTTTTATTGATTGCATGTAATAATCTACTTTTTTGAGGTTGTGGATTTGGGGTTCTTGGGGTTTTCATGAGCTGTAAGCCATAATCATCACAATTATGACAAATCACGGCTTGAATTATCTTGCTTTGCATGTAATGAGTCTATCTCATATATTAGTTTCACCTTTTAAGTTGAATTAGTGAAATAAATGAACTTTGCACGATATTCTAATTATTCGAGTTTCACCTGTATCTACTGATAGAAAGCAGTAGATATACACAAAAAAATTATAATTTAAAAAGGCTTTAAATTTACCTGCGTCTTCGCCGTGCGCTCCCGTCCAAACATCTGAAGAGTCTCGGGCGGCCGCAAAGGATCTTGGGGCGGGCGCATGCGCACTTCAGATGTTCGGCCAGGAGACAAGGAGAGACACAAGGTAAGTCTATGGAGCAGCGTGCACCCGCACAGACTCCGTGGGACATCAGAGAAGAGGAGGACAGAGGAGTCAGCGCTGGATCGGAGACCCGCACCAGCGCTAGAGGGACAGCTGAAAAGGACAGTAAAAAAAAAAAGGATGATTGTATTAAGAGACATAATTTAAGGCAATACAAAAAAGTATGGACACCGGCACTCCAAAGGTAGAAGTATGTTTATTTATTGACGCACGTGAAAGACACGCTCATTGCAATGAGCATGTCTTGCATGTGCGTCAATAAATAGACATACTTTTACCTTTGGAGTGCCGGGTGTCCATACTTTTTTGTATTACTGGACGGTATCCATCCATCGACTGCCGATACACCCAACCATTCTTATTATGGATAAGCGGTCAGGAGTGCAATGGGTATATGGATTATCATTTAAGGTAAGTCCCTAGAGCAGGATTGGGAAAGGGGGAAAAAAACGTTGACTTTGTCACTTTAAGTGCTCGTTTTGTCTAGGGGGCGCAAATAAAGAAGAAATACTAACCTGATTCATGGCCCTGCCTGGCTGCTAGACCGGTCCCGACAGCCTCTTCTTCCCTGAGCTTCAGTGGTCTAAGGACCAATGGCATCATCATGTCTAAAACAGGTCTATTAGACGTGACGACACCAAGAGACATACAGTGTACCACAGCCGAAGCGGAGGGGAGGAGAGGTGATCGGTCACTGAAGTGAGGACTAAGGATTCAGTATTTCTTCTTTATTTTCACCCCTAGAGAAAAAAGAGCAGTTGCCCCTTCCAATGTGGGGGTAGCCCCACTGAAAGGGTTTTTTTTTTTTTAAATCCTGGAGATATTCTTTAATAAGCACTCTGTAAGCTCTAAAACTATGTGTATACACTCTAGATGCCCTGACTGGCAAAATGAAAAAAGCAGAAAAGTACAATCCACAGTAAGAAAAAAAAAATTGGGACTAGCACAAACATACAAATGTGTCAAGCTGTTTAAGGTTATTCCAAAAACTGATGGATGCTCTTTTCAAACAAATCCTAAAAGATACCACTACGATCACGTGACATTGTAGAAAGCATAACTGAGTAACATCATAAAGCGTGTCTATTTAATAAAAAATAACTGTGCCACCGAATGCATCCAGGTGGCAGATGCTTAGATGCCAATACATACAGCCACTTACATCAAATTATATCAAAACAAGAATTCTATTTAATAAAACAAACTCAGTTTCAACTGTAATCCCATTATCTTTAAATAAACTCATATTTTACTGAATTTTACAACTTTAAATAAAAGTTGCTACTGTCAAAAAAAAAAAAAAAGTTTCAAAGAATTTGGCACATAACGGAACAATTAACTGGTCAACCATACAAGATTATTCATACATCGGGAACATTTACATTCATACAAACTGGCATTTGCAGATATATCATCATTGCAAGCGCTGTACAGGGTCTACAAGCACATAACAGTTCAGAAATAATACACAATACACCTACAGAGAAAGCATTATACATACAGTATACGCTATGGCTACGTTTACAATACTCTTAGAGATCCTTTGTAACATATATTTCAAATGTTAAAGTTGTCAACTGACGTATCAAATTACAGATGTATCTACAAGAAGATCTGTTTGATCATGTGCAAGAATTCTAAGGCAACAATTGTTGTTTAACAGGACACAGAGCTGAAGAGAAATTATTTCATCATACATGTGCTTAGGCTTCAGCACTAAGATACAGATGGGCATGTGACACATTCATATTTCCACCGTGGCCGGCTCGTTTATCATTTCATTAGTGTCATTTTGTGGCTCTTTAATGGATATATAGCACCGTTGTGGAGAGTTCTTCCAATAACAATTTACATATAAGCAGAATAGTTTGCATAATATTAGGGTCAAACAGGCTCCTTCTAGCAAATACTACTTACACATATGCATTTAATTGAATTTAAATGACAGTTTGCCTTTTATACCCACACAATAGCAGCCGTTATACATATTAATATTGAAAGGTGAAACAAACAACTGTTTTGTGTTCTGCAATTCAGCTGATTGTTCCTGTGTTAACGTTTTTTTGTTCCTTTGGAAAATAAGGAATCTGAGAAGTATGACAGATTTTCAAACCAGTAACAGGTCCCTGATTACATCTTCTGCAAAGGAACAGTGCTTTACAACGCCTGGCATAGTAGACCAGTAAATTGAAAACATCCTTTCCAGAATAGCATTCACATTATGAATGTAGTGGAGAAGGGGGGAAAGTTACAGTCATATAAATGATGGTTATGACGATGGAACAAAACTGTTTCTTGGAAGTAAAACAGACGTCTGTGCAGAAACAAAGAGGCTTTAAGTTCCCAGGTCCTAAGCTTCATTGTTTTACTGGATAAATGGAGGAATCCTGACTGGGTTTCAGAAAATCTCCTTAAACATCTCATTTTGTATTCTGTATGCCATTTTATTTGCATGATAAGCGGCCTGTCAAGCACAAAAGTCTAATAAATTCTGTGAACACATGAGTCTATGGCCTGTAGGACCTTTTTCATCTTCTTTTTTTCTTCCCAGGCAATCGTCAGAAGGTATAGCTGTCCTTGGGGTGACTTTCAGTGAACGGTGCAGATTGATTTTGCAGGAAAACACTGACAAATGTCAAGCTAAGTATGAAATCGCTTACGGGGAAATTCACAAAACTGACCTACAACGATTTCTACAGAGTATAAATTATTGTAATGACCTTTCTTTTCCATATTGATGTGTTTATTTAGATGCTGTGAACTGTCAAAATGTAAAACAGCTCAATGTTTTAGATCAAAGCCACCAGTTTCAACGACAATTTTCCATTGCTATATTTAACACGTTTCTTGAAAATATGACAAATATCCCACACAATGTTTATTAATGGTCATTTGGTGTAAATTCCCCCAAAGCCTCCCTAGCAGCATGCAATACCCTGTGTTCAATGTCAGTCAAGGTTATCAACATGCCTTTACTTGTCAATGTCTTAGGTGCCGACGCTGTCCAATCATGATCAGTGCAGTCTTTGCAATGATGCTTCCATTTCTATTTACCATATAAAACATTTGCACTAATAACGTTCGTAAAAAAAATATTTCCTTTCTCAAGTTCACACACACATCCTATTATCCCCGATTGTTGGGTTACAGAGGACTCCTGTGTTATTTGGTGTGAAGGATATCTTGATACTTTACACTTTTGTATCGTATATGAAATCCCTTCTTGCTGATTGTATCATCAGTGTGAAAATGAATTAGTATTGCATCTCCACTGGATATAATTTCTTCTGGGGGCTGAAATGAGAAACAAAACAAAAAAACATTTAACATATTTGCGTAGCTATATCTGACTCAACTATAAATGTAAAAGTTGTCCAAATGAAAGCTGAACTCCATGCAAGCTGCTATATACACAACTGAAATACATCAATTAGAATACTTTTACCTCTGAAAAGATATCAGGCCTGCCAGCGTTGTGAACCAGGCATCCCTACCAGAAAGTCACTTTCCTTCAGCTTATTAGCACAGATATGTCAAGAACATTCCCCCAGTCTGCTGACTTCACAATGAAAGTGCAATGGCACACTAATGAGTAAGCACCGTGTTCTCTCTTCCTAGCAACATTTGGACTATAGCAAGGCCTGATTGACTCGTATTGACTCGACTCAATTTGGATGGAGTTTAGCTTCAAGCAAGCTAAATATATGTTTGTATATGAAAGCATTTGTTGGTAGCAGACAAATGCAAGAAGAAAATAAAGATCCAACTAGCTACCAACTAGTAGTTAGCATTGAGCCCACTATTACAGAGCATCGTTCCTGGCCATTGGTAGACAGAGACTTAAGTGGACTTATCTTCAAAATTATGGTATGGACATAAATCATGGTTACCCTATAGTATTGATCATTGGATACTTTTTCTGGCCTTTGTATGGCTAGTGCTGATAGCTGTATCATCTCAGCAAGTGCTTCAAAAGGGGCTGTCCGCATGATGCTATATGTTACTCTCTGACTCAGCAATGGAAACAGTTCAATAGCCTAACTAGCTTCAGATGCATCTTTTTTTGAGTGCAACCCTTTATATCTTGACATGGTTCTGTTCCCATTATAAAGGGGACTTTGCCATTGCTAGTCAAGAACAAGTAATATCTAACCCCTTAGGGTTTGCCTGAAAGGCACTGTTGCCCCTAGAAGCACCAATGCAAGAGCATAAGCAGTATGAACACTCCTGATGTTAGCACTAGATGTCCATTAAAAAGCAAATATGCAAAGAATGTCCAATAATATGTAGAATACAGCAGATTGTAGCTCAAAACTCAGACCCTTCAATCGCCAAGAAAAAAGGTAATCAGAGATCTTTACAAAGTAAAGTAAACAAATTTTGCCAAAAGCTACCAGATTCTTATATTTACTCTTCCAGTGAATTCAGAGCTAGAAGCACACTGGTTGCTTTATCAGCATCAGGAACACTTTTCATATTTTTTTTTATTTTTTACCACAATACATACATCTTCATTGCTGAATAAAGGGCAATAATCAACAAGCCATCACTATTTAGGGCTTATTGAATTGCCAAAGACAATGGAGAATGCAAACCCAAATCAAACATATAAACATCATATAGATTAGTGCTTGGGAGGTGGTAAGACTTTTTGCACACTTTTCCTGATACTTACAATGAAATGGACAAGCAAAAAAGGCTTTGCTTTGAATAAATGATAAATGAATCAGCAAAGATTCTCTTACCCCTGATCCACAGTAACGACCCAGTCTCATTGCTGATGTGTCATGACCATCGAACAGCTCCATGTAATCGTAGCCGCAGTCTGCCTCCTCTTCCACCTCAAATGTTGGAAAGCTTAGCTCGACACGAAGACCTCTCTCCGATACTAACAACCACTCACAATCCGCCTGGACCGGGTAGTTGTTGTCACCAAACTGGGCATGGGAGAACAGGTCTCTGGGCTTTGATTCTGCTTTTAGTCTGCCACCACATTCTGTTGAGAGGAAATAAAACAGGGTTGTAGAGAATACTCACATGAATAGCTAGTCAGAGCTGAAATAGTAAATCACATGATTGGGAGGATTTCCTGATCATCAGCAGGGACCCAGGGCTTGAGGGCTGAGAGACACCAGCTACATTAAGTGTTGCCTGGCGGTTCTCAAAGAGGAAAATGTTTATATACAAGTGGTGTGCAGAAAGGGGTTAAAGCATAGCTCCAGCCAAAGCTTTATTGCATAGTGTGGGAAAGTGTTTAATTATCGGTTCAGTAATTTTCTGTCTATGACCTCATTGGGAAGATGTTCCCTCACATGCTCTCCCAGTTGTCACTTGGGGAGGGAGTTGCAGAAAGCAATAAAACACGGTTAGAAGTTTTAACCCTGTCCCACTCTAAAGAAAATGTGTTTTTGTATGCGTCCCTTTTGGAGAGGATTCCCATCACATCCAGCCCTGACAGTAAATGAGAGGAAGTCTCCCCAAAAGGAACACAGATGGATAAATAATCTAACATGTCTCTTCACCTCCAGGGGAAGCCTCTGGAGATCTCCATTTGTTACTACTTACCACTTTTTACTACTAATCAATCAGCTCTCAATGTGTACCCATTTATCCACTTCACATCACAGTTAGAAAACACGGGGTACTCACGGCTTAGTATACTCCTGTCCCAACATCACAAAGATAAAGTCTGGCCAGCAACTGCCTATATTTACACTACCATGAAAAGTACATGTAAAACACTGTCCTGACTTTTTTTTAGCTTTGTGATTTTGGGGCAGCAGTAAAGTTGGATATTAAACCACAAGATTCCTGAGTTCCGAACCTTGTGATGGGATGTTACTACTTCTTATGTTGGGTTTATTTCATAAAGATTGCAAACGCAGAGTGTTATAATCCTCTCTAGTTAAAGCTAAACTCCAGCCTTCCTCTTAGTCTTGTACAGTTGTACAGGCTCCTCTCCTCTCCTGAAATTGCTTCCTCTGATTTCACTGAACAATGTGGGCTTCAAGTCAGCATCATCTAGCTCCCCCCATAACCCCCAGCCTGACTGTCCCTGGTACTTCTCTTTTATTAATTGGATTTCAGTTCTTTCAATCATGGAGGCTCAGCATCACCAAGGGTGGTTTGTATGCAAATGAAACCTGCCTAGAAATGCCCACTCCTCCAGACTGACAGCAGCCCATCAAAGCATTTTGATACTTGCATAATTCCTCCAAAGTGCCAGCCCACTGCTTGCATCAGGACTGAGGGCAGGATGCTGTGATCTTTTCAGGAAAAGGATTATAACCACCCTGCCGGCCCCTCCCAATAGCCTTGAACTGCCTGCATTACATAAAAAAGCACAGAGACCCAGTGATGAGATCACTGGGTCTAAAATAAGGCATGTAATGAAAACAGAAATGTTTTATTTAAAAATGTAATTAGCATGTTGACGAGTGGGGAACCTAGGAAGGCAAAATATAAGCAGATTAAGAAGCTTTAATAAAAAATCATTTTAGTTTTAGCTTTGGATAGAGAGGGAAAGGGTTAGCAGATTTTATTTGATGTGTGTATCCAGGTTATGAAGATTCCCCTCACTTGTGTTGATTACCATGCAGGCAGTGATGGAATATCTCCAAACAGGTTTACAGACAGCAATAACAACCTGACAGAGGTGCTTAAAATGTGCACTATCCAACACCAATAAAAAAAAGAAGTTCTGGTTGAAGTTAAGCTTTAGGTAAAATGCAACATGGACATTTTTACATGTAAAATTTACATATTAAAATATTTTAAGTAAAATAAAATATACTTAACTAGCAAGGGCATGCAATTACTTTATGAATTAAATGGCACAACATGCAAGCTCAAGATCTATAACTCGGTATCAGAAGATACTGCAAAATCAACTGAACCACTAGATGTCAGTGCAATGCAATTTTTTTGTGCCCACAAATACTAAAACCGACACAGTGACTTTAACATGAATGTCAGCATTTATTGCCTGCTTTAACATAATAATGCTCACTCAAAGGTGGCAGTATTTATATCAGAAATTATGTGTTTAGATTGAAAAGGTGATACTAAAGAACTGCTCACCTATAATCAATCAGTAAAATGCACCACTGATTTGCTGCTTTTTCAAAGGGTGGTATATTTAAATATATGCTGTGAGGTATCACCACCCCTTAAACAGATGGCACCGATCAGCCTTTAAAACCTTTCTGGCATAACTCATACTGTCTGTAAGATGCAGCATGGAAAAATAATCCTATTAAAAATCATTTATTAAACGTATAGTTTAGAAGCAACAAGTGTGGAAAAGTTAAATCGTAGCTGCTGTTATGGTGATAGTATAGACATAATGGAATGGTGGAACTACACTGAGTGGCCAGATTATTATGACCACCCCATCAGTACTTTGTTGGGCCACGAGATGACTCCATGAGATGACTTAGTTGGGCCGCCTCGTGACTCCACGAGATGTTGAAAGGTATGTTGAAAATCCTATTCACATTCTTCCCATCATTACTATATTTATTCAGGAGCAGCAAAATAAATCCATTAATACTTTGCACTGACCTGTGGAATGGGTGGCTTGAAATCCTTTTCTTTGTACTGATGCATCGGACACAAAATGTAGAAACATCTTATTTCCCGTGGCAATTAAAGGTTCTGGAATCTTACTACCACATAATCTCCCCAGGATGGATGACTTGTCCGTTTCACCATCAAAAACTTCTAGGTGGTCGTATGCACATTCTTGATGCTGCTCAATCTCAAATTCACTGAATGCCTAGAATGAAAATATTTTACAGTATATAAACTGCATAGTGTGCACTTCTTTCCTATGAATCAAATCTTGAAATCTGTTAACAAGCATGATCAGATTTAGTACATGCTAGATGGACATTTTAGTAGTGCTTCTGTGCTTTGGACCTCCAGGGAAAAAAACCCTACAATATTATAACTTTGTGTCCAGTTTATCAAGATGCAATCATTATTTTAACCAACTTAATTTCCCTTATGACAGTTTTCTCATCAAATACAAAATACTAAATGCAGAAACATAAATATTGCATATGTGGGTAATCATATTTTTACATGAAATGCACACTTTACTGTGGAAAGCTTCTATGTCTCATAAATCAGGATTTTTTTTTCTTAAATAGCTATATTTTCTGACATCCACAGTATCTCACATTTATCGCCAATCAGAGACTATCTGTGAAGAGTCCATAATGTTTGTGAACGGACCTCTTTACAATTATCATTTTAGCTTTTTTGGGCCCTACATATGAAAGTGCGTAATGGGAAATAGTTTTTGTTCTACATGTTACAACCAATAGGATTCTTCCCTTTACTCTACCTAAACAATATTGACTGTTATAGGCAACAAACATTTTTTCATTAGATAACTTGAGTGAGGAAGCATTATTCTTTCATGTCTTGTGTTAACTGAAAGCTGAGAACTGAAAGCCGAATTCCCTTAATAGCTTTAATGTCTAATGTAAAAAATTACTAAAAGCTATATACATGCTAATACTACTATTACCTTCTAGTATAGTAGACCTTGCAGAAACAGGTTCACCAGGGAGGAGCAAACCAAAGTCTGAAGTCTACTAAAGATTTCAGTCATTGTAAAAGAACGGAGATATTAAAGTTCATTAAGCTAGATCCTTTTAGTAAAGGGACTGCCTTGTAGCTCTTCCCTTGATCACGCTATGGATTAATTCCCAAGCATGTGAGACTGTCAATGTCTAAATCAAGTGATAAAGATCAGATTGGCAAATGGCTATGTGTATGGACAATCCACAATCTGTGCAGACATTACTGGACAAGAAACATTTTTGGAAGAGAGTTTATGCAGCTCTGTGAACAGCATACAGTGGATATTGAATATCTCCTGAAAAAAGCAGCACAAGAAAGTATCTTATATTTATAATTGGAATGGGACGGTTGACCCACTAAGGATAAGTGCACTATAGGCATGACTTGCTGTACATGATTTTCATGTTGGAAGATCTCTGTGGTCACAGCTACACTTTCCTTCTTCCTATAAGAAAAGAGAAAACCCTTTCACTGCATCTTAACCACAAACATCAGCTGTGTTAGGGATGGCATGGATAAGAAAACTGATCCATATGAAAGGGAGTTCACATTAAATGTGGCCTTTTTGGGTGAGACAGATGCTTACAAAGCATTAGTGATCCTGTTACTGCAGTTTGTGCCTTTTTGCAGCCCAATATTTGTTTGTTGTGACATTAGTGGCCTTACATCCCTAGATGTACCTTAATAAACCAGAAAAAAATTGTAGCACGCCCAGTATGAGGGCTAAAACTCTCATGATGATGAGTCTGACAGAGACATAATGACTTGGAGGCAGGGGGACTACTCTGCACTGTTCCACCCTGGGTAGAACTCTCCCCATAATTCTAAGAACTGATACCATATGCGTGTACAATGTGCCCACACCATTTCCATCACCTTCAAAATGGTAGTGTTGACAAGTGGAAAAGGAGCCTTAGCCACCAAACCCATCAAAATCCTTAAACTCTACAATATTTAAATATGTGCTTTGCAAGCTGCATATTTTCCAAATTTTTATTGGTTTAAAAGATCTTTTATGTTTCAAATTTCTTGATGGGATGCCATGTAGTAACATGCTCCATTGTGTATGAGTTGGAGATTAAATTCAAGCAGGGGTCAAGTTCTATATGTATCTATCATGTTTGGTGGTTTTCAGCATATCTGACCTTGTCTGCAAGCAATAATTCTTTGTTGTGTGTTCTGCAGTGCAAAACTAGAAGATACATGACAATTTAAAGAAGGGAAAAAAAAAATTACAGAAAAAAAATATGCAGCTTTGTAATCGATTACTTTTACTACCATTTCATATTTTCACAGTATTCCTAACCAAAAAGAAGGTGAACACAAACAAGTACTTACTAGCTTAACCCTATGACCTGGAGTGGCACTTATTTCCCAAGTACATTCCTTACGACTTGGATACTTGTCTGGCCAGTTGGGGCTTGTTATTACTCCATTCTGGCTATGAATTCTATGTTCACATTCAGCTGTGTAAGGAAAGACATTATTTAATGTATAGTAGTTGCAATCACAAAAAAAGGTAATTAGGCTATTAGGCAGGGCAGCCATATATTATGTACAATCTATTTGAAGGTTTAAACTAAATTTTAAGTTACATCACAGCCTATGAAATATTTAATATTTTATTAAACTGTAGTGTTAGTAACTTTTAGTGTTCAGCTGCTAAAGAAGTTGTTATGTTTTGTCCAAGCTGACCTATATTTTGGAGAACAATTTTGGTTGATAGTGTAGCACAGTGTTTCCCGGATATCGTCAATAACTAAAGTCATAAACGTTGCCATTTCTAGGTGCCACTTGGAAATATTCTGTTCACATTTTGGGGGTTGAGTCTTTGCTGGCTAAATACAGCAGATATCTATAAATGGCAGCTGTGCATGTCTGCAATGTTGTTTAAACTTAAAAGGAGAACTATGAGGCGAGTGAAAATCACTCAGCCTCATAGTTTGAGCCGACGTGTGACAATGAAACTGTCAGACGTCGGCTCAATAGATCGGGAAGTTAGCGAACACATACCGCCGCTCGCTCACTTCTCGATCCTGTGCCTGCAGAGAGCCGTGACTGTCACTCACGCCTCCCTGCAGGGATTCCCCCCTCCCCTGTCCAATCCTCCAGCGCTGACTGGGGGAACGGACTGGGGAGGGGGCGGGTACAGCTGGCTCTGCCTCTAGATAGGCAGAGCCAGCTGTCACTCACGCAGCTGGGTGGATCCAGACAGTATTGTCGGGATCCGTCCCGGCTGCAGCGTCTCAGTATACCACGAGCTGTTGCTCGCGGTATACTGAGCTTTGGGTGACGGGAGGACGTTAATTTAGCTTGAATTATTGAGTTAAACAACATCAACATGCTTTTTTACAAAAGAAGGTATAAACTAGACAACATGTCATAAGGAGCTGATATTAACCGAAATGTAGCCTCCACTAGTTAACAATGTGTGCCCCCAGTCACTGGTAGCCATAAACAGAGTGGATTACTGTTATTGAATTACTGTTGCTTGACAGAAGAGAGAGCACAGCTGAATACACTGTATACCAGGAGTGTCTTCCACTCCACCCAAGTGCCATGTACCATCAGAATGAAAAATGTGTAGCACCGCTTCACACACTACCCATCCAAATATTTTTATCTTCAAAAGATACTTTTTATTGAAGTTATTCACTTCAATAAATGTAATTCACTTTTGTGGCAAATAAATTGCCTAGTTTACAGCACTGCAAGGTCAAGGAGAATGTTACCTCTGTTTGCTGGTTTACACAATTCAGGATTGCAACCATCTCTTTGGGGTTCCTACCTTCTTTGCAGTCATGTTTGTTCTCATGGAGTACAAATCCATTGCGGCATTGGCAAACATAGCTGCCAATTGTGTTGATGCATTCATGTTGGCAGCCCCCATTTTCTTTTGAACACTCATCTTTGTCTGCAGGTGAGAAAAATCTTGTGTTACCCCCTTAAGAAAATAGCATGTAATGTGGCACCAAAATGACTGCTAAATCAAGCAAAGCATATCATGCAAAACCATGCCAGCCTTTAACCTTGTACACAAATAACTCTGTGCAGGTAACATGAATATTTATTTATCATTATTACGTCATTTGTGGATTTTTTTTTAAATGATCAAATTTGAATATGTATTACATTGATACTGAAGCTAACGTTCAGCGCTGTTGCTGATTCTATAGAACAGTAGTATACAAGGTTGTGGGTAACATGTTTTGTTTATTAAAGATTAGCAATTTGTATAGCTCTGAACAACAATGTAATTAATTTACTAAATCTGTTTATACATTTGGTACCAATTCATAAAGTCAAACGTTATAAATAGGTAATAAAAAAAGATGTCCATAAGCCCATATACTAGGTGAATTAATAAATATTAAATATGCATACTGCCACCATTAGATCTGTAGTAAAGATGAGAAGATGGAGAGCAATTGTCAGAAGGTCAACAGTGTTTCTGCATAAAGAAGAATTTTTAACAACAGCCATTACACAGAGAGGCATCCGCTAGAATAGAAATGTGTCAGATGTCATTATCCAACAGACCTGGTCAGAGCTTCAGATCTGAACTGGCAGATTGCTCTTGACATACACAGAAAAAGCTATGTCATGGCAATGCATAATGCAGATGAATAGCAATTAATTAGAGACGACACAGTTAATCACAAGGCAATGCTCAACAGTTTTAACTTGTGTGTCATCCTTCAAGGGCTTATTCGTCACCATTGTTCCTGAAGGGGGTTGTCATGGAATAGTTTTAAAATGTAAAAGTACTTTCATTAAGTTTTATTTTTTATATACATTTTCCCAGTTAAATAGACAAGTGTCTATTTTTACACTTCTAGTATTTTATTAAAGTTTGGCAAGGCAAACTAAGACCATCGTAATGATGGTCTTAATACTATGCAAGTTCTAATATCTCTGACAAAAACATAAGTTCCTTACCATCTTAACCTGTTTTAGTTAGTTGGCTTCGCTATGCAGGAGCAGAAACTGTTTAATCTATCCTCAGCTAATGGTACCAACTCATCATTCCCAGCATAAGCTTTAGGAGAAGGACCATTATGTCTGTAAAAGCAGTAGTCTAACACAACCACCTGCTTTATCAGAAATACAGCTCTATACTCAGCTAGGAACATAAGCTTTATGGATTCAAGAGCCCTAGCTCTGACTAGGCAGGGGGAGTGACAGACTGCAGAGAGACAGCTGCTTATACCATTTTTATACAATTGTTTACCTAAAACTTCAGTTTGTCTTTAATAACACAGCCAATGCAAGATTCATTAACCAGGTACCCTTTCTCATTAAGTGAGCCATTGCCCATGCTTTCTTGTTCTAAACAAAGGAATACTATCAAGATGCTTTTATGGGATGCACATAGTTTAAAAAAACATTTGCAACAGTGGCTGTTGATATAACTTTGCTCAGTTTTGGATATTTACAATTTTAGTTCTGGTGTGATAATATTATATGGTAATAACATTACTGATTATGAAATAAAATGTGAAAAGGAAATCCACCAAAGGAAGGAAATAGGACACAGACTACTCAAATCGCCATAGGCCTTTCTGAAGCTCAGACCCTCTTAAAATTGCTATTTTGCCGAGTACTAAAATTATAGGACCCGAGTAGCCATTCAGAACTCCCCATATTGCCTCACATACTGTCACAGAAAGCCAGTATTAGTCGACTTGTTATAAAAATGTATTATTTTCCCATAGTGACCAAAGACTAGGTAAGCAATAGCTTTTGATAATAAATACTGTAGTTGCTTGCTTAATGTTAACCATATTCCCCCAAAAAGGTTTGTGTAGATGAGCTCCAAAATATGTTTCTCAAAACTTAAATGCCAAGATATAGAAATCATAGATAATTACATGATATTAAGGGATGCTTGTTGAAGTAAGTTTAATAATGCGTTAAAAGAAGAAAAGTAGCAGTCTGAAATTCCCATGTGGTTAGTTAAAGTTAAAAAGTCTTGGAAACAAATGATTTGGGCCTGTGTTAACCCCAAGTCATTTGCAAGTAAGTGAGAAGAAAGCAGTTCCCCAGCTTTCAATGGATGTTTGTGCCCTTAGACCAAAGAAGAAGCAAACATCCTTTCCCCACCGCAATTAATCTTACGGGGTGGTCGTACCTCTGATCCTTTCAGAGGCCACAAGTCTGTCAAATATACGTACACGACCTGACGGGATACTGTTTGTCAAGTCCTTGCAAGATTCAAAAATAAAAATTCTCTCCTTGCAGGCAGCTTTCTTGTCTGTGAACAAAAATGTACCAGCAACAGCAAAAGAAATGAGTGTGAACAGTAAAGACCCCTATGTAACATTATAATCGCCAAGTGTCCACAAGATACACTTTCTAAAAATGAAATAAACATGCAGCATTACACAACCAATACTTTAACAATTAAGTTTTATACAGATCTGTATAATGTTGTATGCACTGTAGTGTAACATTTGTACACAATGATATTACATGTAATGAATCATACGCATTGCAAAACTGAGGGGTGACATTAAAAAACAAAAATTAATAAGATAATAAACAACAACACCAGCATTATGTAATCTTCTTTATGAAGCAACAAAACAGGATTTTTGTCTTACTGGTAAAAACCGCAGGACACAGGGAGTTAAAAGGAGTTAAAGCCGAACTCCTGACACAACAAACTTTCTGCAGTTCAGTGAGTTGAAGAGGTGCTTTGCTGTAAACACACATATGATTTTCCTCCATCTCCTGGCAAAACTGAAGAATACCTGTGGGCGGAAGTCCAGCTCCCACCAAACGTAAGCGCCCGCTCCGCATATAGCACTGTAGGTCTCATACACCCCAACATTGTGGATGCATCTCTGTTCCCCTCTCCTCTTGGCCAACCACAAAACTAAGTTGGGGCCATTTGCTTTGTAATTGGCCAGGAGAAGAGGGCAATGGAGATGCGACCACAGCACTGAGGTGCATGAGACCTACAGCCAGAGCGTGCACTGAAGTTCAGCAGGAGCTGGACTTCCACCCACAGCTACAGTATACCAAGATTACTGGGTGTGATACCCAAAAGGGGGTTCTTTACAAGTTAAGGCCACCAATTCAGAAACAGGCCTCAAAGATGCGATGGCAACAAGGAAGGCCACCTTGGGAGTGAGCAGAGCCATAGGAATATTTCTAAAAGGTTCAAAGGGCAGCTTCTCCAGCATTGACATGACTAAACTGAGGTCACATGGAAATTTAGAAGTGCATATAGGGTGGACAACTAGAGCAACCCCCTGCAAAAAAAAAGTCTTCACTAGTGAGTGAAAGGCAAGCGCCTCTGGAATAGCCACTGCAGAAATTTGGCCCTTGATAGTACTCAAGGCTAAATTCTGGTCTAGGCCAGACTGAAAGAAAGATAATATGCATCTCACAGAATACTTCCTGGGATGAAACTTCCTCGCTTCACACCAAGGGAAATAGGTCTTCTATTGCAATGGTAGGCTTTGTGGAAGGTCAACTTTCTAGTTTTCAGAAGCATGTCTAAAAGGCCTCTGTCCTTCAGTAACTGTGCTTCAACAGCCAGGATGGAATACCAGTCCTTGAGGCAGGAGGTCTGGATGATTCAGAAGTGCCCACAGAGAGTTTACCAGGAGTTTGCCTATGTCCACATACAATCGAGGGTAGGAAGGAAGGGAGGCATAGATCAGGTTGTATGGATCCTGTGGAATCACCAAGTCATTCATCACGAATGCCCATGGATACCTGGTGACAAACTTGCCCAGTTGTTTTTGAACCTAGACTCCTGAAGATCTACAATCAGCATCCACCAAGCTTCACCAAACAGATGTTCCACAGGAGAGGGCATTTTAGTCACATGAGCCATTCCCTATGGACAGACAGAAGACCATCGTGGAGATTTGTAAAGGTATCTGTCAAGCCATCTACAGAGAAATGCAAGGAAAGTGAGAGAACTTTAGCCATTTTAGAGCAGCAGGGTTCATCAAGATGGACCCAAGTTCCAGGAAAAAGGTGGTAGTGAAACCCAGAGGGAGGCTGTGCAGGCACTGGAAATGGTGCAAATTTAAAAAATAAAAGAGAAGGGGCCGTGATTCCTTCCCCTACTGCCTGAGCTCCAAGCTGACCCATATAGGAAACATGGCTGTAACTTAGGTATCTTAACAGGGACTATCCCCCACTTACCAATCCTCAGAGTGCCAGCTAACTCAGTGGATCAGCGAGATCATTTAAAGGGGAGACATCTCATCAAGTCTTCGCCCTCCTGGTGAGCATACCCCCAGAAATAGGTTCTTCAGGAACAGGGCTCCACCAAAATGGACCACTTCCCTGGACCTGTAAGGCACTCTGCAGCAACTATATGTACCGCACAAAGGGCCAAGGTGAGTGTCACTTGCAGGATACCTGCAGATGTGCCTTAAGACTGACCCTGTATATTCCTTCAAGCAGGGTCTATGTACCATCTGCCAACTCTCTGCTTAGGATAAATCCCAAGAAAGATAGTTGCTGTCACAGTGGCCGTGAGCAGCTTAGGGAAACCTTCCAGGACATTTAATTTGGTGGAAACATCCTACTCACAGCCACAAAAATGGTTTAGCCTTGAAAAAAAATATGGTTGAACCTCGTCCAAGACTTGTATGCCCAGGCCTCTGAATCGAACATATTGGAAAGTATCATTAGGGATTTAAAAAGAATTAGCCAGAACCTATGCCAAATGGATGCTATATGAGGAATACAGGTTTCTTGGAAAACACTTAATTAAATATTTCATAGGTACCGTGAGCCATTTGTATAGGTACTGTAAGGTCAACTTACCTTGCTTTTACCTTAAAATGAAACGTGAGGTACTTAATATTAAATACAAAATAAATACATTTTAAATTAAAAAATGCAGATTATATTTTAAACACACACATGTATCTGAAATTGACCCCTTGTACTTCCTGCTACCACTTGGCTATAATTATCATGCATGACTACATTTTGATACATTTTTCGTTTCAACTTCATCCCAAATGCATGCAAGTGATCTAAAGATCTACAAATGACTGATGTACTATATTTCATGTATAGTCCTTAAACCATATCTAAAGACAACTATTTTTTCATTTTGGATACAGTAAATAATGAATGGTTAATTGCCCTACCAGGATTTGTTATTGTTGTTGTCACCTGTACTACATAGGGAAGAGTTCTCTTCACTTCCTGTTCTGTATACAAAAGTGAGAGAATTTCTCTCTTAAACAGATGACATTAGAACAAGTGTCCCCATTTTTGATGACAATGGTCACCAAGAAAAATAAAAACATTAAATCTCCCCAGCAGGGACAGCAAAAAAAATCTGATAGGGGTTCTAACTAGGGATGCACCAATACCGGTGCAGATACCGGGCATTTTCACGAGTACTCATACAGCAGCCTTAGTGTAAACCATAGCCCTGGAGACATCATGCCACCACCCTGAAGCAACACAGAGTATGTAGCTTTATATTATTCTGCATTGCTGTATAATTTATTGCTGAGATTTGTAGTCCTCTGTAGCCGGTGCCATTCGGCATTGCTGTATAATGTATTGCTGGAATTTGTAGACCTCTATAGCTGGTGGTATTCTGCATTGCTGTAGAATGTATTGTTGGAATTTGTAGTCCTCTATAGCTGGTAGTTTTCTGCATTGCTGTATAATGTATTGCTGAGATTTGTAGTCCTTCTACAGCTTGGAGTCAGTGGCAGAACTACCATTGTCTCAGCGGTTGCAGCTGCGACCAAGCCCTGTTGCTCCACCACTACCCTAAAATCATTAGTCTGTATTGTTTTAGAAAAACGGTTACATGACACTAAAAAAAGGTAATGACAATCTACAAACAGATACTTATGCAAAAAATAAAAAGCCTGAAATTGTCTATACCTTATTTTTCTTTTCTTCCCCAGTCTTCTGATAGAGACCATTTTAGCTAAGGGCAGGTTACTAGATCTCCCTTTGCTTCCTGGAACTCTGACAAATGTGACTAGGACCTGTGACCATGCACATCATCACAGGGAAGGAAAATACCTTTCCCTGAGATCTCATGAGATTACTTATTATTTTTGTATCTAATTTGCACAAGAAAATGACAAATGAAATATGCCTGCTGCAACACTCCGTTGACCAATTACAACGTAACCAACATATAGAGAGGTACAGAACTAAGGAAAGTATTACCATACCTGAAAAAAAGTGTGCACGAAAGCCCTTTTTTGAAACTGTATTGTCGGACCGGAATTCAATTCTCATGTTATTATATTGTGAAGTAATGACTTCAGGCACTTCTGTTCCACAGAATTTCCCATGTAACTTGGAATCTGAAGATAGTCCACTTCTTATCTCCACAAAATCATACTTGCAGACCTAAAGACAAAATATTCAAAAATGTTATACATTTTACAACACAGACAAAGGTTTTCTTAATTATGAAGGATTTGTTTTTCCTAAAATTAATTAAGTCATTATCTACCCATTTACTATTAAAAGCTATTCATTGTACGCATAAAAGCGGCAAACATAAATCATCACAATCAGTCATTCTGTATACATAAAATATTTAATAACATTGCTATTATATTTATGTTTACACATGTTGCCTGATTTGTCTCTCTTTGCTTTACAATCTTTGACATTTTCTTGATCATGCAGAACAGTCATAGGAATAGATGATTCACCTGTTTGACTTGCTGTTTTATGGATGATGGGACTAAAAAAAAAGTACCGTTTTTTTTACCAAACTATTGTGAGACTTTTAGGTCTCCCTTGGTATAGAATATTGCTGAAGCTATGCTTTGAGCACTGTGGAGACTCCAGAAAGTTATAGACATTGGTCCACATACTCTGTCATAATGGCCATGGTTATCAATATACCTGCAATAACAAACTTTCAGAAATTAAGCCACATTTCCATGTCAGTGATGAGCCTAGCAATAGGTTGCTCAGGTACTAAACATTGCATTGATTGATGGGGGGTAGTAGTGATTTGGAGAGGTTTGCAATTAATAGCAAATATTATTATTTTTAGCTTTATTGTGCATACTACAGTTCCCTATATTAAATTTCAAGGTTTTCTTTTCAATACACATTTTCTTTGACTTGGATACAAGGTTTAACTGATAACATATACATGAATATAATGTATACATATATAATATGAAAACAGGTAAAGCTTGAGAAATCTTTAGGGTTAAAATAATATTTCCACTAGTTTAAATAAACTTAAACAGATTGTGATGAAGTATAGAAAGTCTGTCCACAATCAACTGGTAGACGTATATGTTTATTTTCCTTTACTAGAAGTAGATGTAAACTCTAACTGGACAATATTTTGTTTGCTAAAGCATTGTGCCTAATAACACAATTGCTATGTTATTTCATACTAAGCAACCTAGGGTTATACTTGCACCTAGCAATATAAGGAGAGGGAGCTGACTCCCTCAATGGACTCTGAGAAAAGGAATTTATGGTAAGTACAAAAATGTTACTCTCATTATCATCATTTCAGGGACTCAGGTTCATAGTAAGCAAACTAAGGACATCTAAAAGCAGTCCAAACTGGGGGAGGGGACGACGACACCCAAACAACACAGGTGAACCAGCCCAAGCTGAAAAAAAAAATCAGAAATACAAAAAGGGAACCAAGGGCATTAAACAGTCACTTGCAGAACCTTTGTAACTAACAGTGGGCTTTAACGGGAAAGAGATGTACTTGCAACTCATAGGCCTGTACAATAACTTGTTGAATCCAGCTAAAAAATAGTGGTGCTGAAAGCCAGAAAACCTTTTTTAGGAACGTCCAGAAAGACAAACAAGGAATCAGATGGCTTTCACGACAGGCAATAGAGAGCAATCTTCTTGGGTTGAACCAGTGCCAGACACAGGGAAGGTAACAACATGTTCTCTTTAAAGTTAAAGGCAGAGACTATTTGGGCAAAAATGAGGTCCTTGGCCTCAAAACAACCTTGTCTCTATGTAACATCAAATGGGGCTCCCTACTGGACAACACTAAAAACCAAATCCTTTCTGGCCAAAATGATAGCTACAGGAAAGACTACCTTATGGGATAGTAACACCAAGGAGATGTCCCGATAGGTTTGAAGGGGGGTGTTTGGGGCACCAAGAATACATTAGATTTAGCGCGCCATGTTAAAGGGGGGGGGGGCTAACAGATTGCACCAACTGAGCCATAAAACATTTCATAACAGAAGAAAACGTCTTTGCTGTGAGGCAAGAAGAGAAATGAACACCTGTGGGTGAAAGGGGAGGTCAGAAATGGCCATTGGCAGTTGGTCTCATAGGGGTTTGTAAGAAGCTCAGGAGGCACAATCCTTGCACAAAGCTCAGCCTTACACATAATGCGAGACATGCTGATAAAACTCAGAATAGTATAGCTTGTAAAACAAATCTAAAAAAATTCTCCCCTGACCTTTATTCTCACCTCACCAGTGGGCAACTCTCTTAAATTAGTTCTATTAAAAAGCAACGGTGGCACTAAAAGCTTCAGCATCCAACACTCTCATGGGCGTGCATCGGATGTCTAGTCCCTGTTGTGCCCTGTAATTTCTCCTGCTGGTTGTTCCATCACTACTGTGTCCTACAGTGACATACTACATTTAACCCTAACTCCTAAGCTTAAAGCAGAACTCCAGGAATTTTTTATTAACCCTTGCAGAGGGGCTACTCACGCACTGCAAGGGATAACTGCTCATTCGTGTTAAGGTGAAAAAAAACAAAACAATGATATACTCACCCTCTCTGAGCCGGCTTCTTCTTAGACCGGTTCCCGCAGGAAGGTTCCTCTAAGGTCCAGTAAATCATCACGTTTATATACTGTGCATAGACATGAGGACGCTGAGGAACATTGTAATATGCTGTAGAGGAGGGAGCAAGCTGGAAGGAGCGCCCCAATGCAGTGCGGGTGTAGCCCCACCGCAAGGATTAATTAAAAAAAAAAATCCTGGAGTTCTGCTTTTATGAACAATATTTTCCTTTGTTAATATGCAACCCTGTACAGTTCGGCATCCAGAGAGTTAACTTACAAAGTTTAATATATTTAAAAGAAAGAAAGACTGTGTGCAATATGTCAATGTGTGAATTATGTTCCCATTACATAATCTGATGGCTTTGATAGAAAGTGTTTTATGCAGGAATTTTCTAAGCTTCTTATGATGAAATGTAAATTGCTTCAGAAAATACACCGATTGTTTGCAGCTATGTTGTTATTCCCTCCAGTCACAACTATGCTTAAGAAAGTTCATTTGAGGCTCAAAGTGTGTTATTAATTCAAGGTCCATAAATCACAGTTGGTTAACGTACTGAAAAATATAAGACAGAAAAAAAAATAAGCATAAAAAAAAATCCTGGCTAACGTTGCTACCTTCCCGTGGCTTCAATTAAAATGATTTGTTGTAATGTTTCTTCATTTAATAATGCTGTGTGAACACAGCTTCTGTCATACGAGAAATTGGTGCAATGCTTGAAGCCAAATGTAAGTTTGCTGACCGGGGAAAGTAACATGATACTAATCATATGAAGAAGAATTGTGTGAATCATATTATGTGTGATTTTATGTGCTACCCTGCTGTGTGAAAAAAAATGTGTTAGTGACCCCAGGGTGTAAATGTGGATGTCTCTACTAATCTATCACAAGTTCAGTAAAGGACCAAAATAAGCCTTAAACAGGAGCTGGCATTTATAATGTTAAAATCACAGTTTTAGGAGCTCATCAGAACTAATGATATTTACGATAAAATAAATATTTTTTGGGAGTTGTATTTGGCTCCACACAAAAGACTTTCTGCAATGCTCAGCACTAGGAGTGTGAAAGAGATCATCTGGATGGTTGCTATGTTAATTACAGACCTCTTAATACAGTTTTTTATTCACACACAATAACAAATAAAGGTGATTTTTGTGGCCAGTAAGAGTACAGTCCAAATATTACAAAGAAGTGCAAGCAAACCTATTTAACGTTTTTTTAAGATAGAGGGAGCTAGCAGATGCTGATGCATGAATAGGACTTTCTCCTTTAATCCCATTTAGGACAAGATGTATTTCCCATATTATTAAAAGGAAACACAAAAGAAAAAAAAGGCTTATATTTATTTCTCGAAGTAGTGGCAACACCAGCTCCAGTTCTGCCATTTCCTACAGGAAAGCTCTCAGGGTGCCTGTCAGCTTACCCCTTTAATTATAAGTAATAGATAAAAATTTAACAGGTTCTGCAGCAAAAAAAAGTCAAGTAAAGCAGTAGCTAAGTTTATAGCAGTGACCAAAAGGTGCATTCTTTGTGACCAAGAGGCACTGAATTGCTGCTTAATGGAAAAAGTCAGAAACAGGCATTTGCAACAACAGGGGGCATGTACAATGAGTTAACATTTCATGGCCCTAACTAGGCCTTTTTAATGGTATTTACAAAAGGGAATAAGTATTGTGGCCTGAATCATCAACTGGCTTCTTAAATACCCAGGAACTCCTGCATGAAGATCTTCTAGGTCATACCTCCTCAATTTGCTCCTGCAGGATGTGTACAGACCTGGAAACCTAGGGTTGTGCAGAGAGCTCATAAACAGAGTTCCTGAAGTATAGAAATTACTGATAGGATGTATAACTTTGCAGCATGCAAGAGGAACCCTGAAGACCCTACATTGACCACAACCAATGAGTTGTTACTCCAAACAGGACTCCCAACGAACATCTGGGGTGAGTGTTAATTATGCTAATTAAAACGTCACTAATAAAACATCTCTCAGAAATAAGGTCAGACAATTGGAATCCAGTTGGAATCCTGTAAACATGTACCATGTAATTTCCCATGACACACAGCACAGCTACTTCACTTTATCTGTGCTGCGTTTCAAAAAATATATCCACTATGAAAAGAAAGTCTTTAGGTAAATATGTCAATATTGGTCAGGTATTCTCTCGTATTCCTTTAGGTAAAATATTTAGGTGGAGTCTTCAGGTATGTGAATTTTCACAAACCCTATTCCTGGTGTTTAAATAGTTTTGAATGGTCTTAATCTCATTTGAGGTGACCTTAAACCACCTCCATCCTTATTTTAGTGACCCTTATGTAACCTTAATGCTGATGGACAGAAGCAAATACTTACTTCATTACCCTCTAATTCAAAGTATTCAAACTTCACCGATATCCTGTACTGAGAAGGAGCAACAACTTGCCAGACACAGTTCTTGTTTGGTGGATATTCTTTGGGCCAGGCTGGGGTGGTTATCGTTCCATTGAGCTTGGTTAACAGCCCTCCACATGCAGCTGGAATGACAGATTACATACTGGCTGAAAACAAAGTTCTAAACGTACCCACAACATTGTATTAAACTAAAGTTACTTCTGTTTAGGCAAGAATTACTATTTATGAATGTCTGAGCAGTCCATTTATTAGTAGAGAGTATAGTTAACTGAGCCAAGAAGCTTCCTAGGTACTGCAGACATTTACATAAACATTTCACTGGCTGCAGATTTCAAGTTCCCTGTGAACGCATGCAGTACGACTTCTATACATGGACGTGGAATGGTTTTCACAGTCATGGCAAGGGCTTGAGAAGATTGGCAGTAAACAAAGGTGATTAGAAATTCTCCTTCCCATATCTGAACACACAAAATGGATCAACAGAGTCAAGTCTGATAAATGTACCAACAAAGTCAAGTCTCTTATAGCACACTAAACGTATCTGGTACTACATGTACATATGAAGCTGTAACGGAAGAATTTTCCCTACAGGATCAGTTCACTCACTGTCATGATGGGTTTATTACTAACTCTATTTGGTTTGGTTTGCTTTTTCCATGTAATATGAGAATGAATAATTCTGCTTGGAATAGAGTATACAGTATTTCAATCATGGCAGCAGTTGTAAGCTATTGTTTTTTCAACAGTACATTTTTGTTGTTTTAATAATTCATGGATGGCATTAGTAGGCCACACACTGCAAATTGTATTAAGAGACCTGGATACAGTGTAATCACCGTTGTAGGTTATGTACAGTTTCAGGAGCTAGCTTTCTTTTCTCAGTTTTGGACTAATCAGGAAAGCCATACCACTCCAAAACTGCTTCCATCATAAGCAAAGTCCATATAAAATATTTTAAAGCAAGGCAACCCCTCAGTAGGACAGCACCTGAATTATGATACCAGATGCAGGGGTCATGCTCAAGCAGTATTGAAAAGTCAGTATTTGCATACAACATTCTTTGTGCTCCAAGACTCCTGGAGGGCACAGGGGCATGTTCAGCAATGCCAACGGTATTATACAGGCACTTCATGATGTCTGCTTTTCTGATTATAGTGCTTTATTTGAAAAGGCAAAAATGAGCGCAATCAAGGTTCTATGAAAGCTTTGGGCACAAATTGCAGCTATGCTTAATCCACAATGTTCACTCAACTAACCTTTTCTCAAAGTTCTCTGTAATCTCCTGCAAACAGCTGTCACGCACCTCACCTGGAGAATACCGGTAGTGTATTTCCAGAGGCTGACTTGGTAGCTGTGTAAAAATTCAATCTACTGTATTTTTACATCAGGCTTGCTATATGGGAGAGGCAAGAGTGAGCCGACAGTTGTGCCTGATATTTTTTAACCTCTGTTGCAAATGCCTATATCACTGACCTTAGCAAGTTGGTAACAGCCAAGAGCCTTTGTTGCTTGCTGTATTTACCTGCAGCATTTGGGAAACAAAATGTGCCTGGACTAGTAAACGGTAAGCTCAGTTGTCTCACATTTTAACCTGATTACAAGTGTGTACAGGAGGATTAATTTATCTGGTCATCTCTATTCCCAAAAAATGTCCATTTGTGGAAATAAGACAGTTAATGGCTGGATGCCTGAGGGAGTCTGTATTTAGCTGGCATAATTCTTTCTCTGACAAATTGTGCAAATGGCAGATAAGCCATGACTGTAATCCGAAATGTACCATTCATATTTCTTTTGTGAGCAAACTAATTTCTGTCATTACACAAACTGACATCTTACAAGACTCCCCCATTAATTTCACAGTATTAAACAAATAAAATGATGGTCTGCGGTAGAACTTTGGACAAAGGAGGCAGGGGTTCGATTTGAGATTGGATCTAACATTTTACACTCCATCCAAAACTAAATAAAAATATTTTGGCTTGTATTACACAGTAACTCATTTTGAAATTTGAAGAAACTAAAACACAAAAAACATTGGGTTCACAGTGCTAGCTTTACATGTCACTGATGAAATGTTACCTTCACAGCTCTTCTTGTCTGGACCAAGCTCATAGCCAGGATCGCAGGAACATTTATAACTTCCAAGAGTGTTAATACAGCGCTGTTCACAGCCCCCATTGTCTGGTTTGGCACATTCATCTTCCTCTGTATAAAAGAAAATATATGTATTAAAGTACATTGATTTCCATTACTCCTTTAAAAAAATAAAAATAAATTATTAACAGTCGTATACAGTACTAATAACAATGAATGATATCAATCCCACTCAGGGTCATATGAAGGATTTCTTTTTTTGAATCTACAGTAGATTGAATTACACATTGTCCTGAACATTAGGCTATATTCAAAAACAGATTAGCAGAATCCCTAAATCCAGACTTTTTCTTTCAAGAACGAAAAAAGGGAGTATTAAGTGTCATGTATTGTGGAAACAGAAAAACCTGAACTGCACATATTGTTTGTCAAGATAAAACAGCTGTTTTGTTAATAAAAAATAAAATTAAGTGAGAAAGAAAATGCACAAAGATTACATCCCAACACTTTTTGGCTCACTGAACACTTATGATTTCATATACAGTATATAACCTAAGCTGTAAATCACTGCAGAGGTTTAGCTTAATAGTGTTACTGTGCAGTCAGAGTACTGTTCACTTTACTGTATTTTAAACTTAGATCTTAATGGAAAGCTGGAAGGAAAAATGTATTAAATTGAATGTATCTAGCCAGGTGATACTTTAGGAAGCATAACTCACCTTTTAAAAAATTAGCAGCAAACCCTGCTTTGTTTACAGTTGCATCTGAAACAAACTTCATCCACAGAGTATTGGAGGTAGATCTAATATCATCTGGCTTATCATAGCCACAGAAATGTCCAATCAGAGGACTGTTTTCACTATTCCCATCTCGTACTTCCAGGTAATCATAAGCACAGGTGTCATGGCGCTCTATCTGTAAATGAAATCATTAACAAGGTTATTACTGAAAACTAAAGTATGTACAAGTATATGACAACGTGATTATCTATAATAATTAATTTAATACAAGAGATTTTGATGGCAAGTGGAAATCACAGGCTGAAGCCTTTATTAAGCAGTTAAACATATTAGATGAATGTTATTTCACCTTGAGGGTGCCACTATGGTGTTACTCCAGGAGATACCATTCCTTTATCTTGGAAACAACATTACATGGATTATCTAACTGTTGTTTAATAAAACCAGATGTTGTCAAATTGTCCATTTTGGTATTTATCGGAACAACTTGTGTAAGCTCACAAACATTGTTGTTACCTATGTGCATTCTATGTGTGCGCCCCAAAGCAACACCAAGTTAGATCTTGCAGCAAAATTCAGTAACACATACTGCATGTGCCTCAGTGTGCTTTACAAGCAGAGCCTGATTTTTCCAGGCCTGGCCCTGTACAATGCTTTTACTTCTTAAAAAATGTGTCAAGAGATTAAAATGGAGGCAGCCACAGTGCTGAGCTTTCCTTCTAAAAATACTAGTTGACTGGCACTCATTATGGACTGGCAGTCATTATGGCCCTCTTGTATATGCTGGGTCAGTGACCTACAACAAGTATATAATTATGACTAGATACTTTTCTCTAATTTTCAAGTTTAAAGTAAACTTGTCTCCTTTAAAAATTAATGCAAAACAGAATAAATGGTCACCAGCACTCCAAGTTTTCTTTGAAACGAAATCCTTTTATTCATTCTAGCAGGTCATATCCCCATGCGTTGCAACGTTTCAGAACCTGTCCGGTCCCTTCATCAGGCAAACAAAAGTGACTTGGCTTTCACTTTTGTTTGCCTGCTAAAGGGACCGAATAGGTTCCCAAAACATTGCCACACATGGTGATATGACAAAAGGATTTTGTTTTGAAGAAAACTTGGAGTGTTGGTGACCATTTATTCTGTTTTGCAAGTATTTGGCACCGCCATCCACGGCCACTCCAGCACCGCC